ATTCTATCATTGTTATCTGAGGGTTAATGTTACAGAAAACAGAGCTTAGTTGTTTGTGTCTTGAGACAGATGAAGGTTAGGAGGGGAGAGGGGGAAAGGGCATAAAAGTTAGGTGATGTGCCTGTTGCAAGAATCATTGCAGTGAGGTTATGATAACTAGTGTAAAGAAAAAAATACAAGAAAAGCAATAGAGAATGATGTGAAGAGAAATGTGAGAAAAATATAACAGTAATTTGCAAAGCAAGAGACAAATTCTGAGAAAAGAGAATAATTTGAAAAAATCTGAAAAAAACCCCCAATATTAGAATTACCTCAGAGAAGGATAAATGCAAACTGAGAAGCACCAGAGTATGTGATGTGCCTTTCAACAGTCATTAGTCATCCTCCTCCCCCTGGTTCTCAGCACATTTATGATTAGGGGACCCCATTGCTCTGCTGGCACTCAGGAGAGCACAGCTCCAGGGACTGTCACCATATCAAGTGTTGCCATGATCTTAAAAGCTTTCCTCTGCTCAGGTCTTCTGAGTTCTTTTGTAGAGTGTGAAAACCGTTAAATGTGAGAATTACATCTAAAAAGGGTACTCTGGGAGGTTATCTATTTGACCTTACTGCTATCTCTCCAATCTCTGGCTGCAAGGATCTTTTACAAAGTGCAAAGCATAGGGAACAATTGGGCTTCCCGTTACTGCACCTGACAGCTGGAAGAATCCCACAATCCCACTACAGTCCTTGGCGAGTGAAAAGAATCATGACTAACAAGCTGATAGTCTGTCCTTAAGATTTTTACTATTGAAATCTGCAAATGGAAAAGGACTTTAGGCATGGCTGAAGCCCATGAGAAGTTGTAGTCCCTTATTATGAGTTGAGTTTCAGTTATAATCAGATTTAATAAGGATATAGCATTCTTGGAGCTCACAAAGTATTGAGCAAATAAGAATTTACAAAAGAACTTCTATGAAATTAAGCCACAAATAAGCCTTTGATCTGTTCAGACTTTTATTACGCTGATAATGCTAATTATTATAGCTTAAACGTGGCCCTTGGCTATGAGTCTGTGATTTAGCCTGAACCACATAGATTTGAAGATATTTCTAATGTGTTGAAGAAAAAATAGTTTCTTACAGAGTGCTATATTGACAAATCTTTCCTGTAAAACCTACCGTCTTTCTTACAATAGCATGTGGACTGTGTTATCCTTGACGATGGTGGATTTCTTTTGATGTCAAATCGAGATGAATATACACAACAGGTATGTATATTTTTTAAGGACAGAACATGAAAACCAACAGGAAGAATTTTTAAAAGAAAATAAAAGCAGCTTTTTACTGTCAGCTTACCCTAAAGATAACATTTCTGAATCACAAAAATATCGCTGGATCAGAAATTCCAGGTTTTTTTTATTAGTCTTTATTACAGTCTTATTTATGCTTGAAGATGCCATACTTCTACCAAGTTGTATTTTTTGTGCTTTGCCCTTAGGCTGGTAGGCTGCCAATGGATTTATACTGGGAAATACTTTATCTGATGTCTCTATATTCTCTCTCATCAGATTGGAAGATTCTTTGGTGAGATTGATCCTGGCCTGATGCGAAACCTGATTAACATGTCCCTGTATGCCTTCAACAAGTCATATGACTATCAATCAGTCTGTGATCCTGAAGAAGAACCAAAGCAAGGAGCTGGACTTCGTTCTGCTTATGTGGTCAGTAGTCCCATGTACAGTGGCTGACATTCTATTAAAAGTCTCCAGGTATTTATACAAATAACATAATCACTTGTTTTTTTCCCAGCCTACGATAACAGATATTTTACAACTAGGATGGTGGGCTTCAGCAGCTGCCTGGTAAGTACAAGTGTGTAGGAAATCTCTATGTTCAAACTCTAATTATTCAGTGGGTTGAGACTGTATTTAGCTTGGGTTAATATTTCCCCCTAAATTCTTAGCTATGTCTCCAAACATGACCATTCTAGCAACAGGTGAATTCAAAACTGCTCTTGCCAGGTTTTATGATTGTGTGTTCTGACTCTACAAAATCAACATCAGGAAGCAGACTTTGGGTTAGTGACCTAAGTACTATTAGCAGTTGTGAAGGTTCAGTCAAAATTATTACATTTAGAATCACTTATCACTTGGTTGCCTATTTCAGAATGTCATCTTTCCCTTTTTCTAGCAAGAAGTCCTAAGAAAATCAGTAAATCATTTTACAAAACACATGAATCACAGAATCATTTGGTTTGGAAGGGATCTCTAAAGGTCATGCAGTCCAAATCCTCCTATAATGATCAAGGCCATCTTCAACTGGATCAGACTGCTTAGAGCCCATTCCAATGTGACCTTGAATGTTTCCAGGGATGGGGCATCTACCATCTCTCTGGGCAACCTGTACCAGTGTTTCACTGCCCTCACCATAAAAATACTCTCCTTGTACCTCTGTGAAACTACCTTCTTTTAGTTTAAAACTATTACGCCTTGTCCTGCTAAAAACTTTGTCCTTAGCATTCTTAAATGACCCTTAAAGTACTGAAAGGCCACAATAAGGTCTCCCTGGAACCGCCTCTTATCCAAACTGAACCCCAGCTCTCTCAGCCTTTCCTTGTGGGAAAAGTGTTCCATCCCTTTGATCATATTTGTGGCCCTCCTCTGGACCCACTTGTTTTTCTGTGTTGAGGGCTCCAGAGCTGTACACAGTACTCAGGTGCAGTATTTTACCTGTTTCAGAGCCATGTAGATTGACACCCCTATCCACTACTTCCTCCAGCACCTCTCAGCACTGGGATAAGAAATTGAGATTGACAGTTCCTTTTTCTAAAACTTCATGATACCTTTTTTTTTTTAACTACTGAGCTGGAATAAATTACCTACTTTATTAAGCTAAGGGTTAAAATATATACCAGCTGAAAAAACATATAGTAATTTTCTCACAGAAGCACTGTGAAGATTGTATGTTGATTTTTATTGTTGGTTACGTTTTGTTAACAGGAAGAGCAATAATCTCGGTTTTCTTGGACAACAGCAAACCTCAAAAACTGAAGATGGGCAATAATCCAGTAGAGAAACTTGAGTTCTCCTCAAGAAACTTTAGTTTATCGGTGTTCAAATCAGACTTAGTGGTCTGGACTCAATTTAGAACTGAGGTTTTTCTGTATGAAGTTTAACTTGAAAGCACAACATTAAAGCACTTACTATGGGCATGTTTTTAATGGAATCTAGGTCAGAAGCAGGCAAAGAAGGCCATTAAGCAAGCAGAGTGAAAAGGGCTGACTAAAAAATGGATTCGATGAGGCACCTGGCAAAAGCAAATGCAGGAAAATAAAAGAAACCAGGTTATTAAATAAAGATATAATGTTTCAGGCAAAAATGTGGGATAAAGGTGTGAGCGATCATGTTCAAAATTTATATGGGATACATCAGCATTTAGTTAGGAGAGTCTGTATCATTTCCCCTTCAGGCTCCTTTAAGTCAGAAGATTTAAGTTTTCCCAGGCTGCCTTTTTCATTCAGTTCCCTGTAAATTCTGTGGTAAGCCATTACAAAGGATTACTATTTTCTGTCAGCAAATTGCATCACTATTGAATGGCACCAGGTCTCTTCTGATCCATGGCTGCTGTGTGCTTCCCTCTGATGATTTAAAGCACAAAGCTGTAGATGCAAATCCAGAGCTCCTTCAGGCAATGCCTTCCTGGGAAAGGTGACAGACGTATTCAGTTTCTTTACATAGGAAGCATGCTGGATAAGGAGAAAAGGAGAAAAAAAAATGGGAGGTTGAATGAAATTATACACTCTATTTTCTCTGCCGAACAAATGTTAGATCAGAATGAGATAAGAGTTATATTTGTGGGTAAAAGTAAACCTAAAACTTTACAACTGGAAAATACAACTTTGGAAGGTTTAAGTGGAAACAGGGAGTTAAGGATTATACTTGTTGCAGTTCTTATTTTGACAGGCTCTTAGAGGAGAAGGGGGCTGTGTATGTGACAAGCTGGTACCTGCTTTAAGTAAATAAAATTGGAAAAATACGATCATAAGTGAAGAAAAATAATTTTAAATAAATGAAGCTCTTTAAGTGTTAGTGTTTTGGCAGCAAGTAGGAAGAAAATACAGTCCATAATTCAACAGCAGGAATAGAGAAGATTTTAAAAGTCAATTGTTACAGTAATGTTTTTTATAATATACTTGCAATATTCCAGTGTTGGTCTCCTTCTTAGCAGTTTAATGAACCTTAATCAGTGTAAAGTAACTAAGTCAGGAGAATTTTACCTGAGTGTGTTCAAAAGGAGTTCTGGTTGGTTGAAGTGTTAGAGGAATGTCAACATACTTCTTCCACCTCCTGCAGAGCTATAAAAGGAGTGCATGGATGGGCATATTAACTTTTCCATTACGCGAGTTATGGGCACAAGTTGTAGTAAATCTTGACAGTAGAATAAAAGATTAGTATGAAAGACCTGTGAGAATGCATGAAAAGAAAACCAGAGTCAAACTGTAAGGTTTAAAGAAAGACAGCTTTAATAACAGGCAAAAGTGTAAAAAAAAAAAAAAAGATTTTATTTTTAATAACTCGTATTTGACTAGTTTTCAAGTATCCATTAAATACATGGAAGAAAAAGAGCCTTTAACGAATACATGTTGTCTTTCTGTGTTCAGGTCTATCTTACAGCAGCTGTTTCTGAGCTTGACTTTTCCACGATTCCTTGAAGCAGGTAAGTCAAGAGAATGTTAAAGAGTCAACTTTGAGTGAAGTAGAAGGTAAGAACCTAGGCTGGGAGCCATATTTGGATCTCCCCATTATGTCTGTGACTTTAATTGTCATTGTTTATTTATTTCCTTTTTTTCTTTATGTCAGCTGATATGGAAGATGATGATTTCGGTGCTGCTCTGCCTAAAACAAGCTGCATCACTGAGCAAACTCAGTATTTCTTCGAAAATGATGATAAATCCTTTGGTGGGATTGTAGACTGTATAAACTGCTCCAGGTAAAATTTCTTCAATGTAAATAACAACTTTGGAATTGTCATTTATTTTACTAAAGATAATGACACTATTATAAGAACAAAAAATATATTTTGGATTAATTTCACCAAACTTACATAACCAAGACAGAGAAGTGTATAGGCAGATAAATTACATTCCCTTTGTACCGTTGAGAATGAATTTTAATTCTAACAATTAAAAAATCGTAGAAATACTCTAGTCAATGTTTTGGTTTATAGTCTCTATATGCTTCATGAAAACTGTATTTCTATCTCTGTTACAACTTGATTTTTTTTAATTTATTATGTCAACTTAAAAGCATTCTGCAATATTCTGAGGGATAAAATTTTCTTTAATCTGGTTATGTATTGAAATTTTTGATGGTTAAGAAGATTATGCAATTTATCTTCTAATTTACCTTCTATTCAATAGTGCTTATGATTTAAGAGCTGTGAGTCTTATAAAGCAAACAAAGCTATTTTATTTTGTGATTAAAAGAATTACTCTTCAGGCTCTACATGCCTATTCAAGATGATGTTCAATATTATGTCAAAAAATTGGACACTTCAGAAACACAGCAGTTTGGACCTTGCTCTGTGTTTCATACAAGAGCCTGCTGGTTTTTGCATGCATTTTGAGCTTCTGAAAATATCTTAGAAATTAGAATTAACAGCCAGATTTCAAACTCCTTGAAGACAATATTTAAAGCCAGGAAAGAAAGACAGAGGACATCTGAGAATGGTGAATACAGCCAAAACACGCAGACATTTTTCACACTTCCCTAAATCCTCCTCCATGTTGCTAGTATTTGTTGGTTTTATTTATAAATTGTGGATGACCCTACTAACTTAAAGACTTTTTGTGGAATTATATGGACATGAAAATACAACAAATACATATCCAATACATATCCAATACATACCCTAAACCTTTCCCTCACCCTTTTACAGACAGGTTTATGTGCTGGGGTTTTGCTTGTTTGTTTTTGTGGTTGGGGGTTTTCTCAGTGTTAATTGATGCTGAACCGATGTTATTTCTCAGTACAGCTACTGCGGCAGCAGTACAGAGCTAGCTATTAACTCAATTAAAGTAATTTTATGCTCTTTTCCATTTTTTCCACTAACAAGTCTAGTTGAAAGAGAGTACCATGGAAATGCCGAAAAGATTACAAAATTTGTTATAAATGTTTCTTGCTGTTTGTTAATGAAAAAGATAAACAGTAGCAGGCAGACTGACTCTGTGAAGCTGTATTATTTTTTTATTCCAATACTGTGTCTCCTTCTCAAATATGAATTTTCTTTCTTCATTTAAACATAGGGTTTTGTTGGCTTTTTTTCCAGACTTTATCATGCAGAGAAGATTTCAAACACCAATCTAGTATTCATTATTAGTGACAGCCAACTGCTGTGCCGCTCCTGTGACCCAAAGCCACTGATGCAAGCAGAGAAGCCGGGTATCCTTTAAAATCACATTATTTAATAGTGTGGATTGATTTTTGGCTATGGGATATTGGAATATATTTGGGGAAAAATGACCCGTTTATGTACATATTAGTAACATGGTATCCACTGGAATACTTGAAACAGACGGTATTTGTGGATAATATCACAAATCATCTCAACCAGCAGTCATTGAGGTGGAGAGCAAAGCTGTTATTTGTGAGAACTTAGACAAAAGTGGGCTCCCAGGAACTTAATGAAGTTTCAAAAAGTCAGATGCAAAGTCTTGGGCCCAAGACAGAATAATTACACACAGCTGGAGAGGCTGGAGACAGAGCTATTAGGAAGACCTATGGAGAAAAGGGCCTGAGGTTCATGACAAACAAGTTGAACATGAGTTGGCACTGTGCCTTGCAGTAAAGAGGGCCGGTTGCATCCTGGGCTGTGATAGCAGGAGTGCAGTCAGCAGACTGGGAGAACTGATCCATCCCATCTCTTCAGCACTGCTGAGACAACATCCACAGTGCTGTGTACTGTTCAGGGCTTCCCAGTACCACACTGAATTACTGGAGGAAGTCTAGTGAAGGGCCACCAAAGAGGTTGCTGTCTAGAGCACAAAGAAGGCAAGGAGAGTCTGAGAGTCCTGGGTTTGTTCAGCCTTTAGAAAAGACAAGGGTATATCTGTCTAGAGAAATAACAAAAACGGGCAGTGCCAGGATACGAGTGTTTGTTCATGAAAAGTTGAGAGGCTACACCAAGTTAATTGATGGAAGCATAGCGTGTGCTCAGACCCAGTGACAACAGAGAATAGCTCAGTGGGTTGCAGCATGGTGCCAATAACACCAAGGTTGCGAGTTAGATCCTTGTAGGGGCCATTCACTTAAGAGCTGGACTTGATGGTCCTTGTGGGTCCCTTCCAACTCAGAACATTCTGTGAAATCTGTGAAACTGCTTACTCGTGGAAACTGCTTTAGCTACCAAAGGCTAGAGTTTATCCAGCTGCTGGCATAGTGTTTCTTCAGAGATGGTGGGAGACACAGGTGGCTTACATGCTAAGCAGAGTCCTTACAACACATGCATTAAAGTTAAAAGCCTGTGAAAAATTGTTCTAATTTACAACAACCTTCATGTCAATCTCTTTGTGTTAACCTGTTCACTGCAGTAGATACTATGGTGATGGAAATACGTAAAACCAATATACACATATTGTAGGTCAGGAGAAATTCACCTCAGTCTTGCTCTGCAACACTGGCTCAAGGATAGCATGCCAGATTTACTGTGGTGGTAAATCAAATCATAACTTGGACTATTATGATGGAATATGGAAACCAATTAGTAATACCTTTGTCCATGTCAGGAAGTTAGTTGAGACAGCCTCTCCCATTTCTGAAAAAAAAGCAGATGGTAGTACAGATGATTTGTTTCTTTGGCACAAGCAAGGCATTCATTGCCACATTAATAAAACTAGAATTCCATCTACGCTTGGATTGAAAAGGAAGTTACATTGGGGTGTCATCACAGAACTATGTAAACACAGCCTAATATTCTAATTGGCTTCAGTCCATGACAGTTTAATTCACTGTTGCCACTGTCTGAATTTATGGACAGCACTCATGATAGAAAATGAAGCAGGTTTGATGGGAAATGGGCACATGACTTGCATTTTCCTGTGGGGTAAAACTCATAGAAAGCAGTAAATGACCTCAAATGGCAGCCAGAGCAGCTGGGTGGGCTTATATTGACTAAATGAACTATTTTATTTTTTTCCAACTATGCAGTACTAAGTTATTCTCTCTTTTCTGTAACTAAGGTACATTGTGAAATGCAGATGTAGCATAACATCACCCAAGCAGACAGAATGACCTTTGGGTGCTATTCAGATGGTTATTATTACACTTTGCTTCCTTTTGGCTGGTACAGCTTTGCTTGTGCTCATTGTCTCTTAGGATATTTCCATGTTTCTACTTCCCTTTCAGTTGGGCCATGGCAGAGAAAATGGGAGGTGAGTCTGATAACATCTGCTTGAAGGCAGATGTAGGTCTGTAGAGCTAAATTCCCCATCCTCTTCCCTTCTCTTGCCTTTGGTCTCTCTACTTATTGCACTGAAGCTGCTGTAGCACACCATGGTATTGCATAACTAAGATTCCTTCAAGTGTAAGTTAGAGCTACTAAGATAAGTAAAGTTTTGGCGCTAAGTTTTTTAAAACACTCTAGTTTAGCTTTTATGTGTGTATACCTACAGTGGAATAAAAAAAAAATCAAAACAACACACTGAATGGTAATATAAGCAGGTTTCGCCAGAACACAGTTTTGCATTTTATCACACCCACGCCTTTCAAGACTGCTGCAATGACTGGAGCCCCTTGTTAGCCAGTGGCACATATGAAGTACAGTATTTGCACTTAAATATCAACAATTACAGATTTCAGAGATGTAAGCTTAAGCAGTATCTCATGTTTACAGTTAGCCAATTAATAGTGTGCCACTGCTCCCACTTCTCTCCTGATGTTCTGTCATTAGTATGGACAGCATTTTCCCTAATGAGATCTCATTAGCTTTTCTGTCATTTACCATCAAAGCCTACAGTGGGATGATCTTTTCTATATTTGGAGTAATATAAGTGTACACATAATAGAACCAGTTATTTTATAGGTTTTCACTGCAATGTTCAACCTGTATGTAGCATTAATTTTCCAAACAGGTTTCCTTGCTTTTACTATGATCTTCATTTTAGCCGAATAACTTAGAGGTAATATAACCTATAGCCAATCAGTACCATTGAAAGTTTATTACTTTATGAAATATTTTCTTCAATATTTATGCAATTATAAGAAAAGCAATACAGAAAATGTTAAAAGAACGCAGCTTTTATTTTTTTTTCTGTGTATAGTTCTGAAAATACTCATTCTAAAAAGTTATGCAGGATGTTTATTTTCTTGATTAAAACAGTGTAAGAAAAAGGGTATTTCATTTTGATTTATCTGGAGAGTTGGGTTGGTTTTGTTCAAACAAAGAACTGTGACTACTGATGTTTATTTCAGTACTAGCTGAATTAGCATAAATCTTCTCTTGTGCCATGAAAATAAAAACAGAATGTCAATCCTGCTGATGTATGATGCACGAATAACAGCCATGCTCCTTAACCAGAGAAACAGATGAGGGGCCAAATCCTTGTGAAATGGTCAAACAACCTCGATACAGAAAGGGTCCCGATGTCTGTTTTGATGAAGCCAAACAGGTAAAATTGAACTTGTTAGACTTTAGGACTATCTTTAAAGACAATTGTAGAGCTGTTTTAGAAGAGTAGTGAAAACTGTGTTTAAGCATACCTTGGTGCCTGGTAACCTATATATCACTAAACATACTGTTCACTCTAGACCATAGTCACTCTATTTCAAATATCCCATTATTAACATAAAATTAGCAGCTGCTTTCTTATCTGGCTTTCCTATAATCATTGTGCTTTCACACATAATTCTCACTGAAAAACCAAAACATCAGTGAGCATAACACTTGGTCTCTATGTGGTGCTGTGAAGTTCAGTTCTTCAATGGATTTCACAAGTACACGATAATCCTAGCTTAAAAGTAGTATTTTTATAATAATGTTTCCAAATATTATTTAAGGTGTTGTTAAATGATTAAGAATGTTATATGTGGTTTAGGATTTGTTTCTAATTCTGCAAATTGTATTGCCCTTAGGTCATATTCTTAACAGGTATATAAGTGCATTGCTTTACTAAAATCACTAAAATTGTTCTGTTTAGTACTTCCTGTATTGCACTGAAGTTTTGAAGGCAAAAAATTATAACTGTGCCACATATCTAAATTATTTTGAAAATGCGTTTCCCCTTACCTTTCAAAATACTTTATGAAAGAGATTATGATGAATTTAAATTGTTCAGAATAAATTTCAAGACAGAAAGTGCTGCACATGAAAGTGCCAGGCATTAGATACAGTAAATATTTTTAAAATTCATTTTTAGTCCCTCATGCAATTTCTGCAAAGGAAAGATTGTCCCAAATTAATGCAGTTAGTTGGCTATAACTTCTGTATACCAAGTCATGTTTCAGTGTGCTCTGCTTTTCCTGTAAGGAGGCACAATTACTGAGATGTCAGTAGTATAAAAAAAAAACCTGATATTCAATACATTTGTTTCTAGTAACCAAATTTTATTTTAAAAAGGAAGTCTTCTTACTGGCCAGTAAAGATTAAATAAAGTTGAAAAACCATCCAAAAGCTATTTGACCATTGTGAATATTCCAAATGCTCCTAATATGGTTGTGTGTGAAAGTACAACTCTTGCTCACTAGCTTGATGTGCTGATCAGTGTGTAAGTCATGTGTTTTGTAACAGTGGATTGTTTTGGTTAAGTTTATTTGCAAAATTTGCTGTGAATCTCTTGCTCTTGGGTGGATGCTTTCACATTAACTCTGCTAACTGCCAGCAATCTGCATGATATCTCATCTTGTATGTCTTTTTTTCTGTGTTTTCTTTCCTTTCCTCTACTTGCTACTTTGCCCGTTATTAATAGGATCAGCCTATATGCACAACGAGTCGTGCCTCTGCCATGACGTCCGCTCCTATCTTCATTTTTCTGCAAGTTTTCATGTGGTGTGGATGGTCAGTTACTTTCTCTAATTTTTTGTTTTGTCCTTGGCTTAAAAAATTAGCAGACTTTTTTACTTACTGAACACACAAAAGAAAACAGAATGAAGCAAGTCCCAAAAGCAACAATCTGGAGCAAATTACTATTGCAATATTAAGGGAAATTAAATATGAAAAAACCCTGTCTGGAGCCTTATAAATCACAATTACTGAACACAAGGGCCTCTCCCATAGCACATACAAAGACGAGGGAACCTGTTGGGTTTGTATGGTTGGCTCTTTGAGATTGCACATGTATCAGCTGAGTACGTGTCATTCCCTTCTAAGCATTTTTGGCTTGTCCTTGTTGAAATGAACAGAAGAAAGGTTTCTACACAAAGATACAAAGTAAATAGAAGAGACTGCAATACCTGTGAAAATAAAGCTTTACTTAGGGATAGCAAGGATGAGTGTTCTGTGTAAGTGCTGCTATTGAGAAGAGTAAGGAGTTTTTACTGCATTCAAATGAACACAACAGTTAATGATGGAAGATAGTATTGTGCATCAGTCTATTTAACTACATGGGTAAGGCCTGTATGTTGACCTAGTGCAGACTCTTGAGTTCACAGCAAAAGCCTTGGCAATTAGACTGTGATGAATTTAATGGTGTGGGACTGTGTCACTAGCTACTGTGATAGCAACATGTCTGCAAGAGAACTGCTGAGATAAGGAGCATAAAATTCGTGACTGGGGGGTCTCTGATCAACATTATTGCTCTGAAAACCACTAGAGGGAGATACTCACATGCCTATCAAAGTAAAGCCAACTGAGAGGCAGAACTGGAAGCTTAGAGGGTATTTTTCAGAGTTAGTGTAGTAAAATACTGAAAATTGTAGCAATTTAGAAAACCCATTTTCTCAATAATGTATATTCTCTTTGAAATTAAGGGAAGGTTCAATTATTATCACTTGAACAACAGCGAAAAAAATCTTAAAGTTCTGTTTAACAACTGTATTTGAGTAATTTTGAAGTTTCCTATTCTCTATTTAAATGATCTAATTTCTAACAAACTTAGGAACTTGCACAGCCATGGTGGAAGGTTGTAAGAAAGGGTAAAAGTCCCTTCCCCTAAGCCAGTGGTATTTCACTTTAAAGTCTAGATTAATATCTCATGTTCTTACTCATGCAATTTGCTCTGCAAGTAACCTTCTTTTAATTAAAAAGCTACTGTCCAATGTACATAAAACAGCAAAGACTCACCTTGAGCTGAATTCTTTATGCCCAAAATGGGCTTTCTGCTTAAGATGGGAAACCCACGGAATATAATTTTAGCTGATAGACTTTTGGCAGCAGAAAGTTATAGAGGTAATTTTATTAATCCATCTTGTTTTTAATAACTTTGTGATTTTGGAAATGGGTTTTTTCTCAACATTAATCTGTGTAGTTTTATTAAAATCACTGAAACCAACACAGATACAAACCGTTGACCAGGTTCAATAACGTGATGGGTGTTTTTTTTTTTCTTTTCATCAAGGATAACAAAATAGTCATTATCACTGCCTTGAAAGGCTTAGTCTTACTTTGTACATGCACACTGTTTTTTTGCTATGCCTGAAAGTAAAGAAAAATACTGTACAGGTTTTTAGCCCCTACTGTGAATGTCTTACTCCCATCGACTTCCAGAAACATGGGAGCTTTGAGGGTTATTAGCAGACCAGACAGTTGGGTATATCTTGATGGAATAGCCTATGTCCGTGATCTGTGCATGGGTAGCTGTACAGCTTTGACAGCTTTGTATGGAACTCCAGACAAAGGAGGGTAACACAAAATTTATGAAGGACCATGCATTGGAACTGGAAATGACTCTTGAGTAAAAGCAAAGGTCTTGTCCATGCAATATGAAGCATTTAAAATATATGCTTATAAAAGGTATAACTTTGAGGTGATCAACTGACATCAAAGGCCAGATCAGAAGCTCTTTGGCACATATTGTTGTTTTACCATTTTATAAGTCATTGTAGCACAAAAGGTTCTGATGAATTATTATGGTTTACAGGCAAAATTTTAGTACATTAAATAGTTCTAAGTGCACTTCTAAAGGACTAACAAGTATATCGGCTTAACATGTATGTATATATGTATTTTTAGTTCCATGTGTATTTTTAAAATTTTGGACTGGCACTGTCTTCAAGGAAATGTTCATATATAACAATGAATATGTGGGCTTGATACTTAACAATGAATATATGGTTTTGTAAAAGCATTCATTTCCATTCTGAAAGTGCTGAATAATTTTCACAGTGTTTGATGTAAAATAATCCCATCTAGAGTTATCATAGTAAAGTATAACATGAAGGAGATGACACTTAAGATTTGACACTTCTCTACCTCAAGCATGCCGGGAAATTTGACATGTGCTTTACTGATGAAATGAAAGTGGCTAAAGATGATTCTTTCCAATTTTTTTTTTGAATTCTTTCTCTCTTCAAAGAGAAATAATATACAGAATATTATTTTGAGGACAACACAGGAAAGACATCCCGAACTGATCTCTTATTCAGGATTTTTGTATGATTAACGTAATGGGCTTGAAAAATTCAGTGAAAGTGCTTAAAAATAGTTCAGTGTCTAATTGCACTAGCAGAGGTAAAGATAATGTAAAGATAGGATAAAATAATGCTATATACCTTTGTTATAAGATACTGTAGAAGAAATCTCAAAAATAACATATACATGTAATAGTTGAGAAGTTTTCTTAAAGCTCAAGAATAGGGGAAGTGTTTTCGAAAAAGGCATTTTGAAGACCATTCAGAACTGATGTATTTTCTCAATCTGGTTTTAAATTAATGATGGAATCTCAGTAATTTCCATGAAACTGTTGATTTCTTTAATTCATGTCAATTGCCATATAATCAGACTTTCTCCTCTTTTCTTATATTGTTTTTTTTTCTTTTTTCATTTCCTCTAGTTTTCAAAACAGTAAAAGCACACAAGGAAATTACAGTGTTCAATGCTAGGGAGAAAAAAATTCATTTGGGTAGGATTTACTGTACCTTCTTTGTCACTACTATTTTTGTCTTGGCTTAGGGCACAAAAGAATAACTGATTCCAGAGGCAATATTTAGAAATTGTTCTTGGCAGAACTGCTGGTTTACCACTGCAAATTGGTCTACAAACCACAGAAATTCAATGTGGCTTTGATCAATATGAGGTTAAAATCTCCCTGACCTTGAAATATATGTATAAACCTTGGATACTTTTGCGTGTTACAGTTTAATACTGTCATTCATAATAAGAAGAAACCTCTCCTTCATGAGGCTTTCAAGACATTCTCTATTATTTTTAATAGTGAATCCCTTAAAAACTGCTCTGCGTAGTCCTAGAGAGAAGCAAAATTTCAATCCAGTAGGAACACTGTATGACTGTTGAATGTAAGAGCAGTGACCATAAATTGCAATGTAGTTAAAACAAAATCTCAAAGAGCGAAAAGAAATAGACCACAGAATGGAGGTGTTTTGGTTTTTTTTTCAAGTACGTATTGAAAAAATGTGTAGGATTAATTTATCAAATGTAGGATTAATTTATCAATGTAATTTACCCAATATTTGGTCTAATACAGAGGTGACAGGTAAGATAAGTACTGTATAATTCAGTATGTGGAGACCTATCTACTCTGTATCCATACTGGATGCCATTTTCGCTGTAAAGATGTTTTCCCCTTCATGTTATGGACAGTTTTGTTTAAGACCTTCAATTTACTTCTTATTTACTCTCCAGACATCTCCCCTCTTTTGAAATTTTTAAATCTCCTGCTTTACTTTTGACTATTGCTTCAAAGAAGACTTCTCTAAGTAATTTCAATGATGAGAAATCCTAAATACCAAAAGGTAACACTGAGTACTGTTCATTGAATTCATGTGAGAGGAAACCTTTACCAATAATTCTGTTTTTTAATGGTAGCCACTGTGAGGAAGATGCAACAGGATTATTTTTAGGTGTTTTGAATAGAAATAAAGCTACATGACAAGACATAATGCAGATGCAAATAGTGACAGAGCCAAACTAAATAAACCAGAAAGTTCAATGCATCTTGAAATCTTAGCATCCTACTCCAAATCTGTGCAGAAGAGTTCACTTAAGGCTTCCTTATTGACAAGAAACCTCAGGAATTTTGAACTTGTAGAGTGCGATCAACCAGAAAAAAAACCAAAAAACCCAAAAGCAAAAATAAAAACACACAAAAATCTAAACAAAAACTATAGAACTAAATTATAAAGCTATCACATGACAGAGACATATCTGGAAGTGGCTACTGTTGATAAAGAATGGCAGCTAACATGAGCTATTGGCTTTAGGACAGAATGAGTTTTTGTTTCTTTCTAAGGAATTTTTGGGTCTTGTTTGGTTTTTTGGGTTTTATTTTACATCCAAGTTTCTAAAGGAGACTCTTGGTGAATATTATAATTCCTGATAAGGTATTGAGTATAATTTGTCTGCTTTATCTGATTTTCCATATATTTTTTCCCAACTGATTCTGATTTCTCTGACCTCCTTGCTTTGAAGAATGCACTGTATGTAGAGGGAATACCATTAAAGTTTTCACCAATTAAAACTGACACAAAGAACTCATTGAAGTTCTTTGCTGTGCCCTATAATGCCCAGATTCCCTCTTTACACCTCTGTTATGAAGCAGTTGCCCTAACCTCATATTTGCTTAGTGCTTTTGTTTTAGTAAAAAGTTTCTACTATCATTTTCGGCATATTCTGCAGGAAAGTCATAAAAAATTATTTATCAGCCCTTCTAATTTTCTTGTTTATATTTAATCTGTCATTTTTATGTACTTTGCTGTTCCTGTTGGGTAAACTTGATTTCTTAAATACTGACCTTTTCTCTATGACAGTGTACTTAAGTTCCCTACTGATTCGTGCAGGGTTTTGGGTTTTTGGTTTGGTTATTTGTTGGGTGTTTTTTTGGTAGAGGGTGGTGGTGGTGGTGTGTTTTCATTTGTTTTGGGATTGCACTTTTATGTGTGGGTGGTGTGTGGTTGATTTTTCTAATTGCGGCATTAATTTTACCTGGTTATCTAATTCAATATTTCTAAATATGCTTCTGGACCCTTGTAAGGAACTTACTTTTTGAGATGATGCTTCTAGGTCTGTTTGGCTTTTTCCTTGCTTTCTGGTTTTGTTTGTTTGTTAAGGTTTTTTCTGTTTTCTTGGGTTTGAGGTTGTTTGGGGTTTTTTGTTTGTTTTTTTTTTTTAACTGCTTTTGGTAATTTTCAGGTGGTTACCTTTCTTAAGTTGCTATCTCCTATTTTGGATTTGTTTAGCCTGATCTTTCACACAAAAATGCTAAATCCTATTGCATCATGGTCTACAGAGCTACTAGGGCTATACGGAGCAACTCCACTAATAATTTTGAACAGGGCCCTGTGCACCCCTAAAGATTTAAAGACTGTTTCTCCCAAAAGCCATTTGTCATATCTGAAAATGCGATCTCTACACCTCTCTTTGATAAGGTTTTGATCCAATCTTTATGTGCCTTCTCCAATCTCATATAACATTGATATTGTCCCTCTGACTGGGTGGTCAGCAGTGCAATTCTAGTATTACTTTTTTTATTATCAGACTCTGAAATTTCTTACCTACAGAGATTCCATCACACTTCCCTTTTCCTGTAAGATTTTTATGTTGTTGCATTTTGTATTATCCTTTACGTAGCACCCTTCTGCTGCATGTCCTATACTGCCATCCTTATAAAGCTGGTAGCCTGACCATATTCTGTACTACTGATAACTGTCCTTCCACCAGGTTTCTGATATGTATATTATTTTAGGATGGTTCACTGATGAGTGATTGTCATTCCTCCATCTTGATTTTATGTTCCTAGCACTGGAAGGTTTTGATTAAAGATGTGCCAATCAATTAAAGATGGTTTAATGACCCTTCCTTATTTATCCTGCTTGTGTTCTTTTTAGCTCCACACTGACCCACTCTCCTGCCCCCAGCCTTGTACATTGACTATTCATTATATATCAGTCTGAACCAGGAGCTGTTTCCTGCTGGTTGGTTTTCCCCTGATTTTTGTTTTAAAGTAGTTTTTATTTCTGTGCCAGAAGCCAGGCTCTGTTACTGTTCAGATGCAGTTGTCTGTCCTTCCCTGAACGTGTTGCTCCTGTTAAAGAAGTTTCCCTAATTGCTAATATACCTAAGTCCCTTCCCATCTACACTGTTTTCTTGTCCTTGGAGGCTTGGGATCTCTTGGGAAATGGAAATCGTCTTTTTATACTATGGTACAGAATACAGTGAAAACAATAGAAAGACCAAGTATTTTTAGCCTTCAGAGCTACCCATGAATCCTGGACTCAGCAGACAAAGAAATGGGGGGATGGCTGGAACATTGTCCTGGTGTTTTAGGCGCTAACCACAGTTTGTATCAGTCCTGAGAAACAAGGTGTAAGATGGTACAGGCTCCAGAACAGGTATCAAATATATTTCAGCCAGACTAATGAATAAGTCCATAATGTGAAAAGTATTATGCATTATAGGCAAAGTGGAACCAAAGAACAACAATGAATGGTAGAAAGGAATGAGGAAAAGAGATGTGTGATTGCTGTGTGGCATAAGGAATCATAGAATCATAGAATCATAGAATAGTAGGGTCCACTGATGCATGAGAGAGCAGTGCAGCTCAGAGTGAGCCCTCAAAGGGGAGCATGTCTTCTCTACTGAACTGCATCAAACATGTAAGGAAACATGCTAGGAAATTTGGTTCTTTTACTTGAATAGAGCATCAGAAACAAAGAAAAAAATTTTCATTCCCTTTGATCATACCTTCACCTGCAGACCATATTCATTTTAATGTGCCATCATTTGATTAAATGAACATAAACATATTTTGGTATTTGTTTTCTAATCTTGAAACGTTATCTGTTATTCTGTCTTTCCTCACAATAAAGTGATACTCAGAGTCTTACAATTGATGTAATTTTAAGGAATATAAATGGGGGTTTCTGGGGCCCCCGGATATATCCCATAGCATTTCTTGATTGATGGTGTAAGTATCCCACCTAGTTCATAAGTGACTGTAGTAAACCTTGAAAGTATTTGATTCTCCCATGCTAATGGTTAAAATAATAGTGCCACCCTTTGTATCAAAAATCAGACAAACTTTCAGGAATTATTTTGCTGTTGTGTCAGCAAAATAACGTATATAAGACCAAAAATGATGCCTCAATGATAGTTCAAAATGTTGCAAACTAAACTGTAGATTACTTCTTAGGAAAATTCATTGTAATTAGTGTTAAATGATTTCTTCTTTTCTTGTCGACAGGAAGATTCGGCTGACTGTGGTGGTGCCTCTGGTCTGAGTCCATCACTGTGGTCCATGGTAGGAATTCAGCTGGTCCTGCTTTGGCTGTTATCTGGCAGCAGACACTGCCAGTTATGACCTTGCTAAACCAAAACCTGCATAACTTAATCAAGACCCGGCCAAAACGATAGCCTCAGTTTCATTTTAGAAGGGGTCAGCTATTCAGACAGCAGCAGAACAGCAGCGCTCGTGTCTGGTGATCAGTCGTTGTGAGATTCATAAAGGCGCCCACAGTGGCTGCATGTTGGAGTGTCGGATCCTTAAACGTGTGTGAATGCTGCATCATCTATGCCATCCGAGCAGACTTCTGTATGTGCTCCATTGGGGAAATCTAAATTCTTTTCTGTTTGTTTGTTTGTTGTTGTAATCTTGATGAATTCATGTAAAAGGGCTCCCCTAACAATGGCTTACGTTTATGATTTTCATTTCTTTTAAGCTTTGGATATCTTGAAGATTTATATTCTTTTACATGAACAGTTATTTAAAAACAGAAAAAAAAAAAGAAAAAAAAATGTTGTCCCCAGTATATGTTACTAGCACCATGATGGCTGCTTTGAACATCAGTGTTGTCCAAACTAGTTGAGTAAAATGAAAATATTGGCCAATTTTCATTAGAAGTTCAGCATGATTGAAATGTTTCATGATGAGTGGTTTATTCTTCCTAAATGAATCATGCAGCCAGCTAAGTTTTGGTAGGTTGATAAATTGTATGTAGGAAGGAAAGAAGGGAAGGAAGAAGAAAGCAAGAAGAAAGGAAGAAAAGGAGAAAACTACTGTGTTTCAAAATACAAAGGTACTGGAGAGTTTAACTAAAAAGTTATTTTCATCTTAAACTTGGTGTCATCTTCTGTCAGAAAATATGTTAATTTCAACATAACATTCACCTCCTTTTTACAATGCAGTTACATATAAAGCTAGTAGAATCATTCAAAGGCTGAAACAAAAATGCTTGTGAATAAAAAATGTCTTTGTGATATTTGAACGTTGGTTTCCAAGGGTATTTTGCATGATGATGATGCTATGTTATTGTTTTCAGTTTGTTTTCTTTGATGGTAGAGTATAGTTCATTGAAAAGGTAACTGAGTGATTCCTTTAATGTGTGAGAAACTGAACATTGCAATGTGTTGCAATCAAATCATATTAAGTTATATTATGAAACAGAGCTCTGAATATACTGTGCAATGAAAAAGCTGAGAAAATAGGGTAAATATAGCTATTGTAACAAAAGGGTTGAGTTGGATTTTTTACAGAATAGTGATCTCACATGAAAATCTGTGTACAGATATTTTAAGTATATAAAAATGAGATTTAACGCATTTATTTTTGGAAGTATATGTTCTCTAAAGTTCATATCAAGTTCCCCCTTTGTTTCCTTCATATATAACCACCCTCAATATTAAGACTTCTGCTGTTGCTATTTATTATTGAAAATAGCATATTTAACAGCAAAATGTCCTGGTTGCTGTGATTCGAAAAAATATAAACAAAAGGGGAGCCTTGAATCTATATGTATGCACATTGATACTTGATTGTGAATAATAACTTTAGAAGTTGTTTTTATACAACCTCATTGGTGATACAGGTTGGTGCAGTAAATTACAATATAACAGTGTAGCATAGTGTTGATGCAAAATATGATTTGCGCTTTTTTTTTCTAAGTTTTCAAAACTAAACAGTATTGCAAGACAGCTAAACCAATGAATGTGCAACTCTGCTGGTATTGTACAGTTCTGCTAACAACTGCAATATGCAAATATTAACATGGCACAATACACTAGCTCTTTAAAAAAATTATAGAATGCAAAGCATTGGTATGTATATGCTGGCAATTGATTGATATAATTTTGATCATGCCAAAAGCTTAAAAAAATGATTGGACATGCATTAATATCTTATGAAAACTGAAGAAACTCCTCAAAGCCATGACATGGCTTGAAAGATCAGACATCTACTGTACTTGTACTCATGGCTGGTTCATTGTTTCTCATGTACCTTGGCTCCAGCTATGTATTTTCTCATGTTTGGGAACACAGTGAATGAGGAAAAATAAATCCTGACCTTTTATTCAGTGATCAAATTTAGCTTTTTAAAAAAAATATCTCTAATAATGTCATGGATGACTTCAGGTCCTCCTCAGGGAAGGTGAACTAATGTTGATAATATGGGTGAAGATAAACTTGAAGCTCTTCTTTTCAGGCGTATTGCTGTACTTCTCTTCACCCTGTCATCAGTTACCACCTGATACAAAAATTGGTTTAAGTGTTTTTAATGCCAAGACTGCATCCTGTATTTTTCCTTGACGTGATCAATTAACATTTTATGGGAAGAACAAGTTTTGTAGGAATAGGCCAATACTTACTGCATTCATAGCTTTTACTCTAAGGTTAGTTAAAATACACATTTGTTTGCATTTTGCTCTTTTTAGTTCTTGAAAGATTGTTGGTATATTAAGTTCTTTATAGTTTTCATTTAGCTTCCCAAAAGAAACCCTTCATGGACAAGTTACACTATTTAACACTGGTAAGGGTTGTGCTGGCAAGGTATATTTGAAGTTACTAAACTTTTTATTAAAATCTGTAGGCATAAAAAGAGAAGGCACAAAGTCATGGTGCCACAGAAAACGTCTGTGGGTCTTGCTCTCAACCCACTTCCCTTAAATTACTCAAATGCAAAAGGAGGGAGAAGCTCTTGCCATGCAGACACATAAGCCCTCTTGGGTGATCCAAAGAGGAAAATGTCCTTTGTTCCTCTCCTCTGCCCCTCTATATGACCTGGAGAATAATGTTTCTTATAAACACTTAGCCTTCCAGTCACAATACCCATCTAATTAAAAATTCAGGATCTGGCTCTCTGTCCCCATAAAACTCAATACTTTAAAAATATTATTTTAAATACTTTAAAATTTTATATTAGAATATCCAAGTGATGGTCAAGATTTTTTTTTAAAATACACTACCCTGATATCTGCAAATTGCAAAACACAAATGGAAAATGCAATGTGAATTTTGGCTATCACAAAATGTGAACACCAGTCTCTAGAAATAACTCACATAAATAAATACAAATTCTCATGCAGAAGGGTGTCCTTACCCTTACATAATGCATCATAGTTGTCTTCTCTTGTCTTCGAAAGAAGAAACTTGATCTTAGGCTTTAAATTGAGATATTTTCAAATTACAATATATTGTAAAAAATTGTAAGCCAGATAAAAAGCTCTGTTGATATTTGCTCAAATCCTTCAAATAGCATTAAGGGAACTGTTAGGATTGGTTCGGTTTACACAGAAGTCATACAGCGTATTGTATGTCTGACAAATAACCACCATTAAAGTTGTTACAGCACGGTACTGTGCAAAACGTGATTTGAGGACTTAACATGAAAGGTTTCTTTTTAGTTTTTCATTTAAACAACCAGCATTACTGCCAAAACACTGACCGTGGTCCATATTTGTAACAGGTTTTTAACATAACATAGCAGGTTTGATTGACAAGATTTTTAGGTCCTGTACCTTTAAGATTTTAGTATGATCTTTTTCATGTTTCTAATGCTTGAGGCTTTACTGCTTAACTTGACAAAAACAACAATGTTGCTGCCATTTGTAAGTTTTCCTACAATATTCCTTTTACTAACTTAAAAACTGGCCTTACTGGTTTCAAACAGGCAGTATCCCTTTTAAGTGACCTTCACAACCCAAGTGTTACTTGCTGTGGTTGAGAGTGTTTTGGTGTCACTGAAGAGACATTAAGACCTTTTGTTCTCATTAACACATAAGCTCAGAAAACTTGCTTAGTAAGAATTCCAAAACACCACCTCAGTCCCATTGAACCTTAAAATTCAGAACCCTGGTTATTATATTAATGCTTACAAGGGACTGCAATGCACTCTGGTGTTTTTGGAGTGTCGACTGAACGTGAAATCTTAATAACTCCTTCCTTAGGATAAATTTTACCCTATCTTCATCAGACATTCAAGCCTTTAGAAAAGGCCAGATTTATTATTATTTTGTTCATACCACAATGTTAATATTGTTAATACTCATTGTACACTATTGTAAAATATTAAAACAAAGTGTCTGAAAGCAATTCAAGAGTTTTGAAAAGTTAGCCTCACCCTCTTCCCAGCTACTTGCATCTGTCCTGTTTATGATTTAAAAGGAAAACATCGTCTTGAAGATATATTTCACTGAGGCTAAAGGGATACTGTCTTGTTCAGATGCCATGATATTGCGATTGTGATCTGACAAAGCTGTCTTCTCTTCTTGTGTTGTATGGAATGTCTGGATCATGCTTTCTGGGATATTTTTATTGAAATGCTCAGTGTGCGTTTCTGCAGAAAAAGACTTGGTTGCTCTTACAAGGCAAGCAGGTCTTTCTCCCTTTTCTTGTGTTCTCTTGACACTTTTGTGGAACTTGACAAGCCTGGAAAAATAATTTTTTGTAAAAATTTGTACAATAATGATATAAAAAGTTTATAATCCTAGAACCGTTGTGTTAATTATTGTGCAAAAGCAGTATATTCAGAATAAAAGTTTATCATTTAAAGTCAACGACTATTTTGATTGTTCACTCTGTATAATAAAAACTTGTAAATAAGAGCCAACATTATTTACTATATAATACTTCTGAGTTTGCTATAAAATTGCACCCAAGTGTCTGGAGAGAGCGAAGACAGGGACTTAACAGAGTTTTTCATAGGGTTCAGAAAAGAATGTGTAGCAGTGACTGTGAGAATTTCAAATAAAGTGGGGAAAAAATAATCTAACCAATGAAAACTGAGTCTGTAAAGCTCTAAGTAAAATCAGAATCTGCAAAGCATCTGAAGTATCCCTGTTGTCCTGAAACAATTGCTTTAGGAAGCTTGCCTTTTCCTAACTTGTAAACACTGATGAAGTCCAAGGGTTCATTCACATGGAGAAGCAGAATAAAATCAGATGGCTCAGATGGGTCCTGCCCAAGTTGTTGCCCCACTTCTGACCAAGATTGCTGCATGATTTATGAGTCAGTTTCTGTACTGCTGCTGTTCTTAGCTAAGCATTATATTCAAAGTGGATCTATGTACCTTAATGAATAGGCTTGGGGTGTGCAGAAGGTACTTTGCTGGGTTTTCAGACTTCCTGTGGTGGCACTGCCAGTCTCTGTCAGAAGAGCAGGGCAGAGGCTGCAAGTGGCAACTGCTTTAGAAGCCTGATTTTAATCCTTGGCTGCATATGTGTCACAGCCCAGAGAGAATGGCAGTTGTAAAATTCTGATGGATTTACTGAATCCCTGAGGAGTAGATAAGAGAATAAGAAATCAAATGCAGATTCTAATGCTGCGGAGCAACAGATCGCCCATGTGGAAATGCTACAAGGCAGTGCCTGACACTGTCCATCAACATCCAGAGATTACTGGCCTCAACTAGATTAAACATTGCTTCCAAACTACATGATTATCCCCACATGCTGAACTCACTATATCATGTTTTCTGTATGCTGACTGCCATTGAGATGTAGAAATAAATAAAAGCCCCAAATCCATTCGTGGTAGACTTTTAGTTTAAATTCTATATTACAATACACTAGTCATCAAGTACAGGAGCTGATACTCTTGGAAAACACCAAATTTCTCCCTCACAGTTCTGGAACTTACAGGCATCTTTGACTTCATTAGTTTGATATGGGAATGGCTGCACTGCAGTGAGATATTCTATATTCATCCCTTGTGCAAATCAAAGCAAAATGCACTTGACCTGTTATATTGTATTATTTTGAGAGATGACTTCACACTGTCCAATGCAACTCAGTTGCTACTCGCCATCTACAGAAATCAAGACATTATATAACACGGATGTTATAAAAACCCTTCACTGTCTCATCTATTAGTCCAGTGCTCCTTGTAATGCTTGACTGATCTAAACGCCCACCCTAAATGGTACATTTTCTCTGCCTGTTGCAAAAGACCTTGAAAGCAATGTCTCTCTTTCCAATAGTCTATTAGGAGCTTTTGTTCCCAAAGTGTATATGGGGGAAGGAGGGAAAGAAAATGAGTCTTTTTCAAGAAAATGATCTGAAGTCTGTGTTTATTCTACATGTTTCATACATACAATAATTTCTCTCTTTTCCTAATTGAGAATATCATTCTCAGGAATTGACTTTTCCTTTTGAAATCTTGTTCAGAAACCCAGACACCTTTAAGTGAAGTCTCCCCTTTCAACAGAACACCCGCACCTCTCTTTCTTTTGGGGTTTTGAACCTCTTTTTTTATCTCTGGATCTTACGAATATTTTCTTGACTAGATCTGCAGTGTACAACCCATATTGTGTGAACAGATATTTGAAGTTGGTAATAAGTGTTTCCCTTGATAAGCACATTTTTGATTTGCCTCACATAACTGTAGTTGTCAATTACTCATGAGTTCACTCTGCAGTGAGCAGAGTTTAGGAACTGGCTACACATGGTGCTGGCCATAGCCAGGCTTTGACCATCTGCCTTGCTGATTGGAAGGTGAATTCTTAAAAAGACTTTTCTACTGCTGTTTTAGTTGTATGCCTTTTCAAAGAGAGGAATTATCACATTAAGTAAAAGCTTCATCTGCTACTTTATCCATTACTTTCATATTTGTTTGGTTTTTAGTGGGCTCTTAGTGCTGCTGTTTTCTGACAGCTGTTTTGAGAAAGAAATATGAAATATAGGGCTTCAGTGGTATTCACTCTTCCTTTTCAAGAAAATCTTTCAATTTTTTTTTTCAGCCACTGAATTAGTTATTTCATAAACAAAATAAAACACATGGATTGAGAATGGAATCTCGTTCAGAATTTCCATTTTAACTTTTGTGGCTTTAGTTCAGGCTCTTGTAACCCAGACTCTTGTGATCTCAGTCTCCATTCTGTGGCTTGATTATTAAAAAATAAATTTTTTGAGCATTATAATATACACACTATGGAAAGAGTAATTAACTTGCCTGTAACAATGACTAATAGCACAATGTTTTGATATGTGTGGTTAGCATGTATTATTCCTTAAGCTATTTTGAGAGTCCAAGCAGTTACTGCTCATTATGGTACGGGTTAGTCAGTTTGCCATATAAGCTCTAGCATCTTCAGGAATTAATTAGCTCTAAGAGAAAACTGTAGACAGTGAAGATCCACTTTGCCTAGAAAGATAGTGTAATAACTAATTTCAAATGTCCTGGAAATTAGGAGCATTCTCCTGTCCTGCTAGCCTGTAGTCTGAAAACAAGCCAAACCAAATCAAACAAACAGACAAAGAACCACAACAAAAAAAACAACTAAAAACTAACAAAACCCAAACAAAACCAAACAAACAAGCAAAAAAACCACCTCCATATAATGGTAGGATTTGCTTTTGACATCTTTTGGGAATTCCAGTCATGGAAATAACAGGCAAGGAAACTTTGAGAACCTGGAGCTAAATCATGTGCAGTGGGATTCACTAGGTGAGCACTAGACGTCTGTGTTCCCAGGAGCAGTGGGGATCCAGACATGGAGGAGGGAGAACTATTCTGATGACCAGCCACTGAGGGTATTCTTGAAGTTGCATTTGCACAAACAACCTTTCTATTGAAATTGAGGCATGAAGATGTTCAATCTACTGAAAGACAGACCAAGCGGTGGAGATATAACACAAAAGTTTATTCTTCTGTTTTGCTGTATCAAGCTTGTTCCTAGGATCAAGGTCTGGGCTTAGTAAATTCCTCCTATGGTGAGGCAGATGTGAAATCTAGGCTTTTAGCTACCAGAGAATGCTACAGCCTTATGTCTGCTTTAACAGCCATTGTTAAGCAGACACAGTGGAATAGATGCCAAATTCCAGATTCTGAGAGGAGTTTGTTTGGTGACTGTGGTTGCAGCACAGTCTGAACCAACACTGAATTCCTTCCAAAGCAGAGGGGAGATAGTGGTGATGGTGAAGGGGATGTTACTCATCCTTTTCATCATGTGCTTCCACTTATAGTACTTGTCTCAAAAGTGTAAAATCTGGTTCTAATCTTTCTTTAGACTGAGGGTATAGGTGGGAGAGGGAATCTGAGCACTTACATACAGAGGTAGCAATGAAATCTAGCCTACAAGTTAGATGGCTACCTGGAATGGTCTTGCCATCAGAGTGTTAAAGAAATGTCTGAAATGAGAAGAGTAAGCAGCTTTAAGCTTTTCTTTTACTTTTTAAATTTTATTTTATTTTTTAGAAATTGTTATTATTTCAATATGGAATAAGAAGAAATGAAGAGGTAGGTAGAACTCAAAGATCTAGAGAGTTCTTAGGTGCTATGATTTGGGATTCTGAAATTAGACAATACTTCTGGGACATTTCTGAAAATGGTATTTATGTCATTAATCACTTGAGTTTTCTTTTTTATGTTTTTTTTTTTTAATATTTATGCCCAATTCTAATCTAGCAAGTCATACAGTTTCAAGCTTTAAAACAAATTCCTAATTTTCAGCGAGCAGAAAATCTCCCCATCGACAAGGAAAGCAATTGTGCTTAAACCTAAGCACTTAGGAATAGGAAGCAATACTGAGCCCCATCTTTGGTTATGGACTATTTTATGGCTTGGAAAATGTGTTGCTCATTGATCCAGCCACAAATTCCCTAAGTACTTGTGATCATATCCAATTTTGCATAGCTCTGTAGCTGAGGCAGGAGCAGGAAGAACAGTTGTGACAGACAGTACAAGATTGCTTGTATTTCAGCTGGGCATTTGCTTTAAGTGTCAGTTCTTGGTACCGTTGATAGTTTTCCTTTTCTGACTTGCTGTGCAACCAGAATTGTGGGTAACATGGCCAAGAGAAAAGTAAATTGTAACCACAACAGCCTGCAGAGAGTGCACATCTGACACCACAGTAGTGCCTCCTGCTCTCCCCAAGGTGCATCCACCCCATTGAGGTGAATGCCAGACAATGCCAGCACTGCCTGGTAACTCCCTGGGAGTGCTGGGAAGAGTCATGCACCTAAGTGGAACAAACTGGTCTATCTGTTTCTCTGTCTCTCTCTATTAACAGCAGGAAAATCAATTAGCTACATAATATCTGATTTTTCAGATGCCTAAAATTTCACTGAGAAAAATGGCAAGTTAGAGAATAGCTTTCAAATGCTTCCACACCTCTTGGGGAATTTAGGTGTTAAGCTAAGATTTTGGGGTATTAGGGTTTTAGGGGAAAATATACAATGGACATAAATATTTGTATGCCTTTTAGATACTACCCATGGGCTTCTAGCAACCTGCCAGTGTGCTTTGCTTTCCAAGGTCAAAGAGCCCCACTGTGCTTTTCTCTGGCAGATGACATCAGTAGAACTGTGCTTTAAAGCAGCTTGTGTGTAAGGCCTCCTTTGCAGAGCATGAAGGAGAACCTATAGCGTGATATTTGATCTTTTAGAGTCTCTAGTTGAGTGAAATGTCTTAAATAGAAAATGGTCTTTTTCTAAATGAAAACCTATCCTGGGCATTTCACAGATAGGCACCTTTATTGCTTCCAGAAGTTGTCTCACGTAAATGGATATTCTGTTAGTGGAGAGATTAGAGAGTTTTGGGGTTTTTTCAAGTAATAGCT